TTGTGATGGGTTTGCTGAAAGAAACATGCATTTTGAAGTAATTCTTGTTGTATTTTGATGTCACAAACTCACAATTCATTTTGGTTTTGATTTTGCTCATGGAGTATCTATCTTTGCAAATGACCTATGATGATGATGATGACTGTTTTAATTGTTCTTTATCTCATTAGTCCTTCATAAGAAGTCTTCTGGCATAAAACATTGGCACCGTGCTTTTTGCATGAATACAGTTAATTAATTTTTTACAATTAAATTGGAACTATAACTTTAGTGCTACTGATGTTCATGATGAGCGTGCATGTTGGGTTTGCACTCTTATTTTTGACTTAGTGAATATATTGCTCGGTTTGATGTTTTTTTTGTTCTTTCTTTTCAATTCTGCCTTTAAATCCTCTTGGTGAATTAAACTATGTCAGGGGAAGAAGATATAGAGCATACATACGACAAGGACAGTGATGGAGGGGATGCTAGTTCACCTACATCTCAAGAGTACCATAACTGCAACGATTTAATTGATCAAGAGGAGGAAGAGGCTGATAAGCAAGAAGGTGATGGTTCGTGTGATCAGCCATCAACAAGTCATGAGAGCAAATCCGAAGAGATGACAAATGGAGGCGGCGGATTGGAGAAAGTGACTACTGAACAGAAAATTGATCTTAATGCAGAGAGGAACTTAAAGGCTGAAGATGAATTCCAGAGCATGGATATTGGCATTGAGGTCTTCGAAACCCCGAAAGAATCTCACGACGGAAGCTTATTAAGGAGCTTTAGTAGCTGTAGCAACAGCAACTTAAAAGATGGACCAAACCTCTTGAATAAGGATAATATTGTGGTAAACGACACTCCCATAGTTGATTTAGTGAAAGAAGTTGATTTGCTATTTGCTGGTAAAGGTATGGGTGAGGTAGCAGTCTTTACAACTGACTTGGACAAGGCTGCAACGTCTGAAAATGTAGAGGTTGAAAAGAGTGATGGGTTGGGGATTATGGAAAATGGGGACGAAAACACGGTTGTAGTTGATAATAGTGGTTCTCTATCAGAAGCTCTAGTGACAATGGAATTCAAGAAAAAGGAGGATGAACTTGTTCAGACATCATCACATCAGGATGATGCAAAAACATTAACAGACTTCTCTACCCAAGTAAATTTGGAGAAAGTTACTCCGTCAGCTGATGTTCTGGAAGTTCATAACAGCATGGAAGTTGGACGAAAGAAGGATGAAGTTTTTGGGACATCCAATGTTAACGAAGCTAGAATATCAGAACCGGAGGACTCTGCCACTCAGGAAGAGGGAGATACACTAACCCTATCATACAGTGCCCCCAAAATCGAAGCTAGTGTAGAAGCTGATCCTCTTACAGATTCTAAGCTTTCTGAAAGCGCTGATAGTCAGGTCCTCTAATTTTAACTTTCTTAGTGTTCGACTTTGTCCTAAAGCTCTGTTTCTTTTCAGTAGAATGACCTCCTGTTTTGAAAATAGGGTCACTTTTTCTTTAATGTTCTATATTTTTGTGGGTCAAACGGTATATTATGCACAGAACTAGGGTTTTTTTCTGGAAAACAGAGAAATTTTCCTGGGAAAACAGTTTCAAAGACATTTTTATTATCCTGCTATCAAAAAGAGCCCAAGGGTTTCTCTAGTTTAGACATGGAAGTTCATAATTTCCTCCTAAAGTTTCTTTCTTTTCAAACTTTGTAGCATCAAAATGGTTTAGCTATACGACCAGTGCAAACGTCATGGAAGGGTTGCTGTGGCCTGTTTGAGCTGTTCAAAGGATCTAATAGATGATTTCAGGTAAGATTCATACATGCTCTGTATGTAATAGAAATCTGATTATGTTTCTTCTATATGTGTGTGTGTGTGTGTCTATATATGTGTATAGACACACACAACACACATATATAAATATACATGTATACACTGTGTATGTGTGTCGGTGTGTAATTTATTTTTGTTTTAATTTTAAAAATCTAAATTCTATAGTGTATTATTTACTGCTCATTAATTGCTAGAAATGACCTTGCCACCATCTTAGTCTTTGACACTGCTTGAGAGGGCATTCTCCTGCTCTTAAATGGAGGTGGTTAAAAAAATTTTGTTTGGTTCAATGGAGTTGATAGGGATTCGTATTTTGGAAAACATGTTAAAGAGTTGTATTTGATATTAATTTTATCATAATTAAAAAAATATTACTTCACCATCCTGAAGTAAGCTTTCTACATTTCCATTTCTGTCTTAGACTTCCCCATTCCAAGGAAATGAATATGTGGGTCACGACATTTCTCTTTCTTCTAAACAAATTGCAACCACTCATTTTTTGCTTTTCCACACTTTTTGAGTTTTTGTGAACTCCATGAAGTCAAAATGTGAAGTTCTTTGGGCAGAAGGTGTAGTATGCCTGGAAAATAAAAAATGACATAGAACAATTTTGGGGTATACCAGAAAGAAATTAACGGAAAAGCAACCTCCCCAAAACCTTTTAAGTTTGGGTAGTGGCATTTTAGAAGTTACCGGAGTAGGATATTTATTAAGCAAAAAGAAAAAGTGTCCATTTTGGAAGGTGGTCTTCTTAAAAGTTAAGCATCCGGGCATTGTTGTATACCCAATGCGAGGCAGCTGGAGGTCTAAGCCTCAAACTTGATATCCCTTAACTCTTAAAAGGTAGGGGCTTTAAAATTTTACTGTCATTATACAATCGTCATCGTTTACAGGTTTAGTGGCTGACCAGTAAAAGAGTGCATTGCTACATGGTTTGCTTACCACTATGGTCTTATTTTTAGCTTGTAAAAGGCGTGCTTTTGAACACACATTTTGCATTCTTCTTTCCCCCTTTACAGAAACTTTGTTTATATATAAAATAAGCTTTGTAGAAATACACTTAAATAGATTTGCCATTTCACCTTCTTATGTAAAGAAGTTTTTTGGCTTTTCCATATAATCCCTTTAGTTAGCTTGTGTGGTTACTATTTACACTATATTTGGTTCAAGGAATTTGAAAGGGGAAAGACAAGAAAATGAAGTGGAAAATAGTTTTTCTTGTTTGCTTAGAGAGGAAAAGAAAGGTAAAATGGAAGGAAAAGAAAATGAGAAGGCAAAATGTACTAAGAGGAGGGAAAATCTAATTTCTCTCGTTTTGGTTAGGAAAATGAGAGAATCATTTTCTTTTCTTATCCTTTCAAATTCCTTCAACCAAACATAGTGTTAAGGATCTGACTCATCTGCCAACACAGTCATATAGAAACAATGAATATCTTATTTTCAAGGAATCAGTGCTTTTTAGAGGAAGAAGATTGTATTTACCTTTACAAAACATGTGTTTGGCAAGAAAAATGCGAACATGCTTTTTAGAGTAAAGAAGTGCTTAATGATGATTGAGGGCCCATTTGGCGAGCCCAGGCAGGATTGATACGATATAAGTCATGAAATCTGAAGGATATGATATGAGTCTTGAAATTTGAAATGAAATTATTTTATTATATGGGTGCTCTTTCAGGGTAACACTTCAAGTGCTTAAATGCAAAAAGCATTTATGATAAAAGCACTCTTATAGCATAAGTTGTTCCAAACATGCTCCCGAGACTAATAAGCCGTGGGGATTTATGAACTGTCACTAGAATCTCTCGTAATTAATTCTTCTATTTCTATTTACTAACTGTGTGTGAATGAATCTTATATTTTTTTTGATGCAGTAGAGAAGATGGGCTAGAGAAACATCTCGGGCAGGTCGGCTTTGATGGTTCAGAAACTTTATAATGTCTTAGACTAGATAGAAAAGTCATGAAAGAATAATTACTACTACTATTACCTGTACTAAGAGAAGAGGATGGTGTTACAGAAACTATATTGTAGCCCAGTTCAAGTGAATCTTTTGTGTTGTTGAGAAGCAGATTAGAACAAGTTGCTTCTTCTTGCAGCCAGTTTAGCTTCTGGGTAAAATTTTCATGTTGATTTGTGTGTTGTGTGTTTTATAAATGGAGTGAATCTTTTGGGTGTTTTGGGGCTTGGTGAAACCTTCAAGGTTTTGTGCTTCTTTTAGTGCAACTTTAATGCCTACCTTTGTCGTAATTTTTATTGCATGTTTACTATAAGGTCGAACTTTATTTTTTTATACGAATTTTTGTTATGCGTTTATAAATTATTATAGCCATTTTACCTTGTTTCGTAGGGCATGTGATGTGCTCTGTAGTTTTTAAATGAGTATATAAAAACAATTTATTCTACGTCAATTTTTAATTTAATTAAGTTAAAAATTATTTATGTTAGATATTGTAAATCATAACAAGCAATTTAACTTGAGATTGGTTATGCATCAATATTTTAAAAAAGATGAACTCTGTCGTAGGGTCTTCAAGTTTTGAATCCGACCACAAAGTCCTTTTATATATCATATTGACAACTTGAGTTATGCCTTGAGCAAGGGGCGGTGTACCTTTTTTTCCTTTTTTGGGTAACGTGTAAATAAATATAAGCTTTTAGGAGAGTCACCCTCCAAAAATTAGGTATTAGGGTGGGAGAGCTCAAGGCCTTATAAAGCCTTTTCCCAAGGGAGAGACTATCTAATGGAGTAAACAAAAATTACAATTCTTCTCCCAAAATTAATTTGTTATTAAATCATAAATATCAGAAATACTGATTGTTTAAGAATCCAAACTGCATCCCTCATCTTGGGTTTTAGTTCAGATCTTCTAATTTATAAGTTCTAATTCTGGTACTCGTTAATCTTGTACACCCCTATTTTAGACAAAAAGGAATTAAAGAAATGAACAATAAAGTCATCAATTTAGAGGATTGTATAATAAAATCTAAACACAACCCATTAATGCAAAGAATGCTCAACACTTAGGGCTTGCCCTCTTCACCTAATGTGACTAGTTCTGATTTGGTCTCTTCTGGTCTGTTATATTTACATTTAATCTGATCTGATTCCAATAAAAATAAGTAATAAGCAATATAAAAAAATAAGTAATAGGAATATGTTGAAGAGAAGAAACTCTTACACATATGCCACATTGTTTTAGTAATTAAACTTTTAACTAGTGACTCGACCCCATCAAAGCAGGGTCAAGTGCACCTATACACACATGCTCTGACCATCAAGAACAGATAAAAAGAGAGGAAAAAGAAAATTTAAAACAGACTTGATATATCACACATACAAGGTGGGCATTTGTTATCAAGAAATCTGGTGCAAATCAAACTCGTCGACCTTCGCCCAGGATTTGAGGCTTTTGTCTTGTGTGTCCGATTTGTAAAGAGCCAGGCGAGCTATGGGGAAGTCCAAGTTGCTAATGGTCTCGTCGAGAGCATACGCTCTTTCTTCGACCCTCTTCTTTTCCTCGTCCGTGATATCGGCATAAAGGAGACTTAGGTGTGGCATGTATGCTGCAAACGATGATATCTAGAATTGATCTTTTGCATTGGGATGGGGATAGGGGTGACCCTTAAATTAGAATATATATATATATATATATATATATATATATATATATATATACTTCTTACTTACCTGATGGTCTCACATAACCAAAGTGTCTGCAGCAATGGTCACTAGCCTCCACAACCTGAAAGGCACACCTATAAGTCATTGTTTCCTTCCTTTTTTCAAAAAAGAAAATCATTCTCTCTCTATTCGGATTTAGTTGTTTACTTTCTAAAATATCTTATTTTAAGGAGTACGTGTAAAAACATCAAATACTCTTTACTCCTTACTGAGTTTGTCATTCATTAATGTCAACAATGCTAATATGCAATCCAGAGGCCGCGCATTTTAGATTATCTATCATAACTTGTTTACTAACTGTGGAAAGTTGAAAACCAAATCAGGACGCATAAAAACACGAATGTGGAAAACTAAATCCGGGCAGGGGGAGTTTTATAATTTGTGATTTCACATTTATTTATACAACTTTTAATAAATGTAAACCACCATTTGGAGGGTAAATGGGAGAGTCTTTTAACTTTTCATCCTATGCATAAAGTAAGACTGTTTGTGTATGGTTTGAAGAGAGGAAGGGGACACAGAATGAAAGAATGGGGAGCTCCCTCCTGTTTTGGGGACAAAAGAAACTTCTTTCCCTTCTCACATGCACGTCGTGTCTGTGCTCCTGTTGGAGGCAACCTCACCTACAAAATAGCATTGCTCTAAAGCGATTGAATTGGTTGAATCTACTGAGTTCGTCGAACTTGTGATTGAAATAGCTGAATTGGATGCACGAAACCATCTAAAGGAGTTATGCGTAAATTCTATAAACAGTCTTTTATAACATGAGGTTTTCCATATATAATCCTCTAAAACTATTCTGTAATAATACCTTTAGAAGAAAAATTCCCAAATATTTTTCTTTCACATGTAACTACAAAGGACTTATCATCATGAAATACTACTCAAATTCAGAGGATCAAGAACAGAAAAGTTTAGAGCAGAGGACTTATATGCGGAAAACCCCTTGTTATAAAGGATCGTTTATAGAGTTTCCCCAAAAGTTATTCACCCCAATTTGCTTCCAAAACGTTACTCCCTACAATTCAAATTACTCGTGCGAAAGTATATACTCCATCCATCCCTAAAAAATGCCAAATCTTTGAACAATTCAAAATTAGGACACATCATTTATTCACATTGGTACTTGTGCATTTATCAATAGTTATAAAAAATTGTTGAATGAAATTTGTTTTTTATTTATAAATTCACAATATTTGATCCTAAACAAGCAAAGCTAAGAAACCCTACACAATAGAGAAATTACTGTATTGTGTGGATCAATCAATATTCAATAGAAGAACATAGGGTTTGCATTGTACCTCTGGTGTGGGATGAAGCAGGAGAAAAACGCACTGGTAAAAGGACGGTCCAGTGGCCACCTTCGAGACAGCGGCGCCGTACGCCTGGAGTCCCTCGCAGGCCTGCCGGAATTTGTCACGCGCCTCGCTCTCCGTCAGCCTGATATCTCCGACGACGGTCACGTGCGGCTCGAATCGGGGCCCGCCGAACTCCGATCGGATCCCCTCCATGAGCTTCTTGATCCTTTCGGACACGTCCGGCGGCGGGAGGCCCCAGACGGAGTAGGCGTCCTTCTTCTCGTCGATGGATGCCATGGGAAACGCTAGATGGTCGGTTCCGGGGAGATCGCCGGTCGGAGCTTCGGAAGCGAGAGACGGTGGAGGTCGGGTTTTGGGCTTTAATTTTGACTGAAATTAACAGGTGTCTTCCAAAATTATACTCTCCCAAAAAAAAAACTTTATATTTTTTTCTGGCCAAATGATGAAAGACTACTAGACTGACCAATAATAAAGAATCCATCCGGGGTTGGAAATGGGCGAAGATTGTTGAGGGCCTCCTTCCGGAAGCCATTTGTGACAAGCTGAGGGCCTTTTCCATTAACCAGAGTGCTGAGGAGGAGGAAGATGAAGTCTATTGGGCAATGGAATCCCCCGGTAAATTCTCAGCTTCGACTGCACATAGATTGTCTAACTCATTTGCTAAGAGTGTGTAATTGTCATTTTTTCGTTTAAAATTAGCAAACTTTAACCCTAAATTAAATAAAAAAAATATTTGATATCGATAAAAAAATGATTTTATTAGATTTATTATATAAAATGTTTTCAAAATATTATTTTATATAATTAATATACAATATATATTTTATTTAATTTTAAATCAAAAAATCGATTGATTGAAAAAAGTCAAAAGTGAACAAATATTCTGGGACAGAAGTAGTATCACGGAGTAGTTTGCAAGTTAAAAATTGGGAGATTCTATCAAAAATCAAAGAAAAAGAGCGTATTAAAACATTTACGTTATGTTTGGTTTAATGATTTTGGAAGAAAAGAAAAGAAAATTGTTTTCTCTCGTTTTCCTCACCAAAATGGGAGAAATTTGATTTTCCATGCTCTTAATATATTTTGTCTTCTCATTTCCTTTTCCTTCCATTTTTCTTTCCTTTTCCTCTATATCCAAACAAAAAAATTGTTTTTCGTCTCATTTTGTTTTGTTTTTCATTTCAAATTCCTTGAACCAAACATAGTTTTAAGGGAATTTAAAGAAATATTATTAAAACATAGTGATTTTCCCAAAGTAATAACATATTTTTGATTTTTAAATGTAGTATCATTGTATAATGTCCGATTTGTTATGTATTTTAGTATAATTAAAACAACTATTTGACATATGATATCACAATAATCATCAAAGAAATTTGGTTGGTGCGTAGTGCACTCTTCATTGAATTTGTTATGATACAAATCCCGTTTTAATGGGGGTTCCAAGGGAGCTCCCCCTTGGTGGGGATTCAGAGGCAGCCTCTTTTGGTTTCGCACGACTAGACGAGAATGATAAGAAAAGAGACGTGACTGCATAAATATAGAGTAAATTTTTAAAATGGTACTCAATAGCTATGTGTTTTTCAAATTAATCCCCAAAACTAACTATTTCTCGAAATTGTACTCGCAAATTGAGAATAATATTCAGTTTAGCCCCACCGACTAATGACCGTTAAAGCGGTGTTAAAACGACGTTAAATCTTTTCACTTTATGAAATGGTACTTTCTAATTGGGTATTTTCTCAAATTGGTTCATTTTCATAATAAAGATAAAATAATTATGAAAAAAATATTTTAAATTTTATAGGATGATAATCTAATATTCAAAATTATAACTATAATTTTATAAATTTGAAAGCAAAATTATATATTATTTACAATTATTTAAAAGATATATCATGTAAACGAAATATGTAATAAACGTTAAAGAAATCACCCTAAATAAGAATAAAAAAATAAAGAAAGAGCTCCTATTTTGGTATTTAATTTATGTTTTAATCCTATTTAGGTTGATTTCTTTAATAATTATTAAATAAATTTTTTTCATGCTATTCTTTTAAATAGTTATAAATAATCTAAAGCATTTGCTTTCAAATTTATAAAATTATATTTATAGTTTTATGTATTATATTATCATCCTATAAAATTTAAAATATTTTTCTATAATTAATGTATTTTTATTACGAAAATAGACCAATTTGAGAAAACACTGATTTTGAGAAAGTAGTATAGGGTTTAACATCATTTTAACTACCGTTAGTCAGAGGGCCTGAAATGAGCATTATTTTCAATTAACGAGTACTATCTTGAGAAATAGTTAATTTTGGATACTAATTTAGAAAAACACAAAACTATTGATTACTAGTATCGGATCTCATCGATTTCGAATTTAAATCAGATATGGATATATTTAGTTCAATTTTGGTTCGCATCATTTCGGCTATTCGATTATAAATTACATCTTCACTTTTCGAATTATTTTGATTCCGATTTTGAATCATTCAATTCAGGTAATCGATTCCGAATCTGTTTTGTCAGGTCTAGAGATAAATTGTGCATACACACACCCTCTCCACACCCTACTCTTGTGGAATTCAACTGAGTTGTTGTTGAACTCATGTTATCCTTATCATTTTATATAAATTTTCGACCATGCAAATGCACGGATATGAATCTAGTTATTCCAAAACAATACCAACTGAGACATGAGCCAGGTTCGTAACATAAAGATCATGTCTTTTACACCATTTTGAAAAGTGCCCCCAAACTTCACCCGAGAAAATCTTTTTTTTTTTTGGAATATTGTGTTCCAAAAACTGCTTTGTGATTCAATTTATGAGCTCACGAACACTGCAATTCTTTTTTCTTAACACTATGTCTGGTTTAAGGTATTAGGAAGAAAAAGAAAATCATTTTCACTCATTTTTCCTCATCAAAATAGGAGGAATTTTGTTTTCCCTCCTCGTAGTCTATTTTTCTTTCTCATTTTCTTTTTCTTCTGCTTTTCTTTGCTTTTCCTCTCTAATCGAACCAGAAAAATTGTTTTCCTCATTTTCTCCACTATGTCATAAGTGAACACTGCAATTCTTATGACAACAAGATTTGTTTTTTTTCACACAGACAATTTCCATCATTAATACATCTAATAATCTACACATTAATTAAAGCTATATAGATAGTGGATATTCGAATAATCTAAACTATACATAGAGATGAGGTTTTTCCACAAGACAGTTTGTGAACCAATGCAGATAATACTGTCATGTGATTGGTAAAAACTACCTCAAGACTACAGCAGCATTTCTAAGAGCGAGATACCTCTGAACATAGTCATTGGGGAGTGCTCTTATCATCTTGAACACTTCTGTATTAGCATAGCGGAGATTGGTCCTGGGATCATAATAAGGAGCCTGCACACGAAGAACAAAAAAAAACTCTAACAGTCATCCGTAAAGATTTAACAACATTATACAAGACGATGGGTACTTGGCAAATTGAGGGCCAACGTCTAGTTGATCGAATCATGGAGTTTACGAAAAGGCATTGGTGTTGATCGATTGATCGATAACTTTTTACACGTTATCTAAAATGTGCTCGTTGAATATTAATAAAAGCCAATTTCCAATTTATGTATCTCTTGGGGAATAGGATAATTTCAGGGGGGGAAATTATTGATGTGCGTAAATATCATAAACAGACATCAACGAAGGGATGAGGAAAGTTGATCAGCATAGATTGATAAATAGGAATAGAGAGAGTAGTTCACTAGCGGGGAAACTATCCGTAAAGAATCTAAGAGACATTCGGAAAAAACCACGAATTATGTTATTTCTGTTTTAACGGTAATCGTGGTGGTGGTGGTGGTGATGACGATGATGAAAAAGAAAACAGAAAAAAAGAAATTTGATTATAATTTCCAGGAAAAGTTCAAGACAGTTCAGTATGCAGATGATTATCTCTTTCCCGTGATAAGACAATGTTCACTAGTCTGCACACTCCACTTGGGCCAAAGAGAAGCAGAATGTGGATTATGGTAAGCACAAGGGGGTATCTTCTCAATTGAAGGGCATGAACCTCATTGCATAGCTCAAGAGCCAAGCTATATCATCAAGCATGCAAACTCATTAGCTACATGCCTACATTAACAAGAATGAACTCTTCAATAGGAATATGCAAAAGTTAGGGATTCATAGGGATACTACATTACTACCAACTAGTGGTCGACTGGTGGTAAGAGCGAATAGCCAAATACTCCGTACTACATAATGGTCTCACTTTCTTAATCGGGCATTCATTAACAAGGACTTCATTTCTTTTTTTCTTTTGAATTATACATGGATGCACAAATTGCAATCTTATGATATCTCCAATTCTCCATGCACGTCGAAGTAACCTATGATGATGATGGTTTTAGAAATTTCATCTTATTATTCATTTTTGCGAAGGTTGCTACATGAAGGGCATCTGGCGTAAAACATTGCCACTGTTTATTGTGTGGATTCATAAAGTTAATTAATTTTACACAGTTAAATAGCAACATAATTTTAGTGCTACCGACCCCATGTAGTTCTAAGGGGCTGGTGGTGATAATGAATTGATGATGGTTGGCCACAAACAAAGGAGTGAAGAGACAAGAAAGAGAGTTTTTTTGTGTGTGTTTCTTTATATTTATTGGATAAGATAGGTCAAGTAGTTCAATGAGACAGAAAATTACTCTGAAACAATGTCAAAGATATACCAATCAAAAATCAAATTCAACAATGCTTACAGATACCTCAAATCCTGTTATATCACATATCTTTTTGCAAGGATGCATTGGAGGAGGAGATTCAATACTGACATCTGCAAATTATAGAAAAGGGTGCAAGTACAACATTAAAAAGGATATCTAAAATGGGATCCATTGTAAGATACAAGAGATCACTGTATAACAATAGGACATACTGCCATTACAAATTAAGCTATAACTAGACAAACTGTTGTTTATAGAAAATTCTAATTATATTGCATCTTATACCTCCCACATAAAGCATTGTATTTGAAATGTAGCTTATAACATTATATAATTCAAATGCAACAATGAGTTTCCTAATAAGCTAATGGACAAAAAAATTTATGTATGGGAAAGGATCTTAATAATCTTATGACACCCACCGTGGGCGTCATAATATGACAACGGCACATTTGAGGGCCCTACAATGCTTGGTTGGCCCTGAAGTGGACCCTAGTCCTCCACAACCCCCCCCCCCTCCCCAGATCGCAGCAACGTTAGTGTCATTGTAGCATTTTGACTATCAGGGGAGGGGGTTAGGGGCAGTTGGGGGTTTGGGGGATAGGACCCACTTTGGGGCCTAACAAAGTACTATAGTGCGCCAGTGTCATAATGTGACATGCAAAACTAGTGTCAAAAGAACCATTGTGGTTTTTGCAATATCGCGATAAACAAACCCACATGTATAAGCAACAAAAACCAGATGCTGACTAAGGGTATGTTCTTTTCAACTCATATTAACTTAACTATATTTAAGTGAAAAGTGCTGAACTGAATTAAAAATTGAATATTTTAGTTTCAGTTGCTAAGGGAACTGGAAAAAAGTTACAAAAGAGTGGGCCTTAAATGAAGAATACTTTGCATAAAAGAAACAGGGCAGCAAGCAATAGCCATGAAAACAGATAACACAAGACCCAAAATATGTGAACATAGCTACATAGCAATGTCACATCTCAATACAAAATCTGTTCCTGCAGAAATGAATTCTGAATCAGAACCACTTCAAAGGCTAACATTGAATCCACACTAATTCCCAAAAGAAATTTCTTTCTAAGTACCAATAAACACAGAATTTGCAAACGATATATCAATAACAAAGAATTAATTCCAAAGTAAAGTAATTTCACCTGTTGAATCAGAAAACTAACAGATACCAAATCACAACCAGAGAAGAAAGAAATAGTTTCGCGAACAAATTCAGAAGAAGAAGAAGAAGAAGAAGAATTGCAGCGAAGGCGATGAAGCTTACAAGTCGGTTCATTAGGAGCGCAATTCTGGTAATTTTCGGCTTGAAGAATCTGCTTGAGATGTTTCCAGTGCCTGCCTCTGGCTTGGCCTTTGGGGTACTTATCCGCCATTTGAATTCTCTTGAACTTCATTCGATTCGGTAGCACTATCTCTGCTTCCATAACTTCCGGCTCCATCTCAACTGCGTTTAGTTGAGCTCCAATTGGAGAGAATTGATTCAGGGAAAAGAGAAGGATCAGAAGGATATTGCGCTTCAAGCAAATTCTTACGTTTCAAGAAGCTGCATCTGGTTCGGGTCGGGTGGTTTATTATTTCTTCCCCCTTTTCTTTGGTTTTCATTCATCCCTATGTAAGAAGAAAAAAATAAAATTCTTTAAATTGTGGCCCTAAGTGATTAAGAGCATGGGCAATGGCAATTAAAAAATGTAATAACACATGGTGTTGTAGAATATTTAACCAATCAAAACCAGTCCAGTCAGCGTGTGACAAGTGAATGGAGTGACATGCCTTACAATGACAAGTAATTGTTGTTGTCCATTTTTACACTTTTTAAACATATTTTAATTATTAAAAATTATTTTACTTATATTTTTTTACAAAATAGATGTACTCCTATTTTAAAAAAATCTTCTTTTTTGTACAAAAAAATAAAAAAAAAGAAATCTGACTCGCGGAAGCCTCATGTACTGTGGAAGAAGTGGAATCCCACGCGAGGCAAGCTGATGGATTGTCCTACATGTCATGTACCTGTCATGGCATGACAAGCGGATGGAGCGCCGCTGCACATGCTCTAACAAAGACTAGAATATTAAGCAATGTCATGGATGACCCGAGGGCCATATAATGTTCCATTCAGAAAATTGACAGTTTTTACCTACTTAATCTCCCGGTAAATACTCATCCCTTCCAGCCTCCTTCAATTGCTCCACTAGAAGAACAAAAAATCGAATCAAATTTTGACAAAAAATAAATCATACCGAAAGAATAAAAACCAAACCAAATCATTTTTTATTTGGTTTCAGTTTTGGATTTTGAAAACCGAACCAAATTGTTTTAAACCAAAGTATACTAAAACTTGTAAAAGAAAATACGGAGTATATTTTTTACTAGAATGAATTTCTTAATCATATACATACTCATTATTTACTCTTCAATTATTTTTTGACACATTTTTATTAGTGATTTTTTCTTTAGAAATTACAAATGAAATAAAAGTTCAAAGGAAAAACTAAATTGCCTCCAGAGTTTCAAGATAATGAAAAATATAAATATTTCATGTTTGACTTGATAATCCTTGGAGGGCGTAGGGATGCTTATTTCTTTGCTAACACACACGATTTGAGCTGACGACGCAACTTGTTACACGTTTGCTTTCTATTTCGATGTATTAGACAATATCTTAATTTGGAATTGTTGGCGATTATTTAAATTACATACAATTGAAAATTTGGGCTTATGAAGTTTAAGGGAGAATTTTTCAAGTCTGCCCAAAAACAATAAGCAACAAAGCAAAGGCATGTACCTACCAAATACCATAAATTGTACTACCTCCGTCCAATTTTATAACGCCTGTTTCGGTTTACGATGTTTGACTGAAATTATTTTCAAATCATTTTATATGACAAATGGTATAGAATTAAAAAAATAAAAATTACATATTAAAAAACTACATCAAAAGATCTACAAAACTAGTAGTGACAATAATATTTTATTTTATCAAATTGCTAACGAAAATAGAGAAAGAAAGTGAATGAAGTTTGACCCTGTGAATAGTAAACAAGCATTATAATTTGGAACGGAGGGAGTATTTTTTTCAAAAAATGTCAAAATCTTACACTAGTGAAATGTGGAAAATACACATTGGCTTGGGAGCTTGGTCTTTCAGAAGCACAACTTTGTTTGGATGACACTTCATTACTAGTTTGCAGTTGAAGAAAAATCTACTCCGTTCGAAGAATCACTTGGCATTTCATCGTGCGTTTGTCGAAAAGCTCGGTAGTCGAATTCATTCGCATCCATAGACAACAGGTCAGAGTTGTGCTCACGAATATCGGCACGACCTTCAAGCATGCTCACTACTGCTGACATGGATGGCCTGAGGACCGGAGAAGAATTGGTACATAACAGGGCTACTTTGATCATCCTAATTGCTTCTTCTTTGTTGAAATTGGAACCCAAACTTGAATCTACTATATCCATAAGGTTTCCTTTTCTACGAACAACGCGTGCCTGAAAATACGCAACAAAGGATACATTAAAAAACTAGGGACCAACAAGCAATCCCTATTGGTCAAGTGCACGAAAAACCAACATAGGAATTCTGAGGCTGCTCCCCGGATTCAATCCCCAAAGGGAAAGGGATTATTTAGGGATTCTCTAAAGGAACTGTATGGGCTATAAAAACGAAGGGTTTAAGCTGGCTTTACAACAACAACAACAAAAACAACCATCACCACCACGACAATAACTGGTCACTTAGTTTGGATTGAGGTTAGCAAACGATGAACGAATATGACCAAACCAAACAAACACAATATATCCCAACCTAGAGTAGGGTCTAGGGGCAATATATACTTAGTCTTTGGCTTTGTTTGGTAACAACACTTGTGGTTAGCGTTTGCGTATGTAGATAAATTTTTAATGGTAGATCAACATTGAAAACAAACAACAACAACAACCCAGTTGAATCCCACTACAGTAGGGTCTAGGGAGGGTGTGTGTACGCAGACCTTGCCCCTACTCGGAAGTAGGGAGGCTGTTTCCAAGAGACCCCCGGCTCCAACAGATCAATATTGAAAACACTAATGCTAAAAGCTACCATTGGATAGCATTTTCAAAATGCTAAATGAAACCAAATCATACAACCTAGTTGAATCCCGCGAGAGTAGGGTCTAGGGAGGATGTATGTACGCAGACATTGCTCCTACTCGAAAGTAGGGAAGCTGTTTCCAAGAGACCCCCAACTCAAGTAGCACAGTATGGTATAAGAGCCAGAAGACACATAAAAGCAGAGAAAGCATAGAGCATATAATACACATAACAAGTGCAAGAACAATCCCCTAGTGCATGAAACCAAATTATCTCTATTGCAAATATTAGAGAGGCGGTTTAGGAGAGGATTTCAACAAACCATGACCGTAGTGAGAGAAGGGTATAAATACTCACCCAATCAAGGAGGCAAACATAGTTTTCATCGGGACGATACTTCATGTTGTTTTTCCCGGCAACAATTTCCAGTGCTACCACACCAAAACTGTAGACATCGGCTTTGTATGTCAAGTGACCCCACATTGCATATTCAGGAGCCATGTATCCTCTGTCAAGAACATGTATGGAGTAACCTTTTAAATATAAGATGAAAAATAACATAGGTTACACATCACAAATCCAAGAATCACGCAATCTATTAACAGCCAACTTGAAAGTCAAATAAAACAAAGGGGTTTATTTAAAAAAAACGGACAAGATAATAATCACGACTTACATAGTCCCTGCAACTCTGGTGCTGATGTGGGTATCTCCATCATCGTCAAGTTTAGCAAGACCGAAATCAGAAATTTTGGGTTTGAGGTCTTTGTCTAGGAGCACATTTGAGGCTTTGATATCTCGATGAACGATTTTCAATGTTGATTCTTCGTGTAAGAAAGATAAACCTTTTGCAATACCAACACAGATTCTCTGTCTGGTAGGCCAGTCTATTTTCAATTGCTCCCCTTCTGGACCTGTAATTAGCTTTTACCTCAGAATACCAATGTTTATCTTGAGACTTATCTAAAATAAACTACTCCATATTCACATCTGAATTTTTCACTTTTCTATATTCTATCTTACAACTTCTGAGTAGTGGTAAGCTAAGAGCTTCAAGATTTAGCTTTAGCATTTTGAAAAGGTTAACTAATGGCTTCCTTTAGCTTTAGCATTTTCAAAGTTAATATGCATCATTAAGACATAATCCAAAATGCTAACACTAATTGAAAACGCTATTCCCAAACAAGGCCTCTATCTTACATTGGGTAGGGGAATTGAATAGTTTTGTTGGTTTGATTGGATTATTATGAGTAGCAGTTGAAATAAATAAAGGTTTAAATTTTACCAAAAAGAGCATGGGCAAGGCTGTTGTTTTCTAAGTACTCGTACACCAACAGCAGCTGCTTTCCCTCAACACAACACCCATAGAGTTTAACAAGATTAGGGTGTTGCAAACAAGAAATCATGCCTATTTCATTTAAAAATTCACGGTTTCCTTGTCTTGATTTGGAAGAAAGCTGTTTCACAGCAATAACTGTACCATCCAATAGCATACCCTAGTTTTTGTAGAAATGGAGAGTCTAAGATCATCAAAAAACACGAAGAAGTATCAATGAAGTAACAAATTGACAAATAATGGAAATTCGTCTTTTCTCTATACCTTGTACACAGAGCCGAAACCACCTTCCCCGAGCTTATTTTCCGGATCAAAGTTGTTTGTTGCAGCTTTTATCTGTTTGAAGGTAAATGTGCCAGTTCGTAGATCAAGACCTTCTAATTCTGCATCATAACAAATTTTAAGAAATTATTAGTGCATCAAAATAACATTTGGGGTTGACTATATAGAGCAAATCTTCAACAATATTTATTTGGTTCAGTGGTTCACCTCATCCTTTAGTGTGAGTTTACTTCTGTTTACAAGACAAATGGACTAAAAGAGTCATCATTTGCAATGTTTAAGTTTCGTGCACATAATGGACTAAAAAAGCACATTAAACTTCCCTTGCTTCTTAGTATCTATTTAGTTTTGGGTAGTAAATGCAGCAGCGCATCCAGGGTCTAACCGAAAACTCTTTGTTTTCACAGGGGTAAGCAGACCCCGATGGAGTTGGGATTGTACTGGATTGTATTCTCATTTGAGTGAATGCAAAAATTAACAAAAAATCAATGTTCCTAATTGGAATTATAATCGGAAATTGGACCAGAAAGTGTATATTACCGTCTCCTTGTGAGGCCTTGTTTCGCATCCACATTTTCCACCAAGTGAAACAAATAATTGTGAGAATAAGAAATAAAGAAGGTACCGCAATGGCTATGATTAAAACTTTTCTCTTCTTGGGAGGCTTGAAATCTGCACATTTATCAAAGAGACACAAGAATGAGTTATATGTTTTTTCATTATGTATCTGCAATCAACCAGAAACTATGAACGTGCAAAATTAGTTAAGAGTAGCTAAATACTAACCCTTTTCAAAATAAAATCATAAATACACTGTGCACACACATATTCTATACATAAAAATGCTGTATTATTCACCCTATTTGTTATACTTTGAAAAATAATTTACACTGATTTTACCAGATTGCACAGAAATGGCAGATACTAAAGGACCATATGATCCTCTACTTGGGACTGCTGTTGTTCCTTTCCCAGCAAACTCAAAGCGCACCTCTAGAGTTTTATCTTTGACGGGTACTTTAAATTGTTCTACCCAGGCTTTATCAACACCTTGCGCAGCAGTTCTAATGTTGAAGTCTTTCAATTTCCTCTCACCTTGTATAAATACATCAAATATGCGCCTTCCGAGACTCTGAAAAGAGCTATTATCTCTCAGAACTATCTCCGCAAAATGAAGTTTCACAGTATAGTTTCCATTAGCTAAACAACGTCCATAGTAAGTGAGAGATAAAGGAGATAGCCGAGCCGTGGTGTAGAGCTCAGAGTCTTGTCCCTTGATAACGGATATGTTTGTTGCTTTATAGTCAGAAAGTGTTTTATTTCTATCCCAAAAGACCCCTGTAGTACTGGTTACCCAGTTCTCTCTGTTAGGAACAAATTTTGCAAAACCTGCAGAATCTTCGTCTGCTTCATATGTGGTATCACCAATCAACACATTGTCTCCACCACAATTAATGTGGAATGAATACCAATCTGTAGAAGAATGGAATAGAGAACTAAATGATATGTGTGTATATGTGTGCATATGTGTTATATGTGTGTGGATGTATGAATGTGTGGGCGTGCGCACATGTGTGTGTGTGTGTTCAAGTGAGAATGCATGAACCATGACAGAAATGAAAATGCATATGACCCATCAGATTAAAGATTTAAGGGTTGTGAATAAGTGAAATCAAGAAAAAAATGAAACAAAAATACATCAATCTCCTTTCTCACGTTAAAATTATTCTCAACAAAACTAACCCCTATAGATTTTGGTTCAAGTGAAATTGGATGCACCATGGCAGAAATCACTCAGATATGAGCTTACCTTTAGTACATTGACTTAGACACTTCCCAGCTTCTCTATACAAAGAGATAAGGTAAGTGAGATTTTTAGTCTTGAGAGGCTAACCTAAATTTAGTGTGTAGCAACAACCATGATGTGTTGGAAAATGTTAAGACTTACAAATTATTTCCTCCGCGATAGCTTTTGAATAAGTTTCTAGCGCCAATGCAAAAGTCAGCTAAAATGATTTTTGTTAAAAAGAAACATTACATGCACAAAAATGACAAAATCTTACAAGGTTTCTCGACAGGTTGATGGCACAGAGCTCTCCTCAAAGTTATTGTAAGAAAGGTCTATGTCACTGCACACATACTTTTAAATTATGTTAGTGCATCAAACAAAGATCCAACTTGGAAAGTGTACAAATATTAACCGTAATCGATAAAAAAAAAAGCTCTAGGTGTGGCTAAAACATTTGGGCATTGAAATTTCTTAAACATGAATTCTAGTATGGAAGATACTAGTTGAACCAAAGTTAAATCATCCACTAAGTACACGCCAAAATAAATAAAAGAGTCATGTTTGTAATGTCTGACCCCTTTTGTTATTTATGGGCTGGGTTGGGGGTTATATAAATGTACTTACTGTCTTGAATCTGTATTTAAAGCCCACTGAGGAATTGGCCCACTAAGCGAGTTATTCGTCAGATACCTAAGAAATAAGAAAGACATTAATGTGTCTTAGCAATACATGATTCATAAGGAAAAGATATAGAGGGGTAAATAGTAAAGATGTGAGATCTGAATCCAAGTCATAACCACCAAATGGAAGTATAAGAAACACAATATGGTGAGTTTTCAATTTGAGCACAATGCGCCAGGAGAAAGTTTTGATGCATAATCATTAAATCATAGTAATTGATTTGCACTCACATGAACTGGACATTTTCAAGACGTTGAAGACCATCAATCCCTCCTTCAATATTATTAAAACTCAAATCTCTGCAAGCTCAATATTGTATCACAGCGGTCAAGCAGAGAAATACAGCACATATCACTAACAATAAGAATACGCAGTCAAAGTAAGTAGTCTTTAATAAATTGAGATGGTAGAAGATGAAATTTTGGTCCTATGAACAAAAAAGGAACACCATAAATAACCTTTTATTAACATGATTTTTGTTAGTACAATAATATGAACCAACTGCCCTAACAAACAGAATAGTACTTTACTTTGTTATTTATTAATTTATAAATAAGTGATAACAAAATAAAAAATCTCAGATGTACAAAACATACAAATTAAAATTTATTTTTTTGTTTATTCTATCCAACTTCCACTTTAGATAAAAATATTAATGTTGCATATATAGTTATTATAAATCAACAAAGTATTGAAATCAAATAAATTAAATACCAGTAATTAAAAATTAGAATTTTTATTTTTTATCTTTTTTAAGAACAAAAAATTAAAATTTTCACATATCCAAAATAAGGACCGAACCAGACTTGGACCGTTCCTAACCGGACAACCCAATCCCAAAAGGTCCCTATTTGTCAATGAAGACGGAACTAGTTCTGACCGGTTCCAAAAAGACTGGACTGATCTCGTCCTAAATAGTATCGGTCTTTTCAAGGGAGCGATCTGGTCTAACCAAACCAGTCCTTTTGCTCATCTCCAGTAGGTGATAGTCACACCCACCAAAAAACTAAACTCAACTCACACACTAATTTTGCTCCACTATTTTCTAAACTACTTTTGATCTCGTATTTCGCACAGACTCATATACATTCTAAAATTTTTAACATTGTGAAAACATTATATTTTGAATTAAAATATAATTTTATTAATTTTAATTTTCTAATAAATATATGGTATGGTACTATGGTTTATATAAAACTATCTTAATTATTGGATATGATATCTTTCTTTAAATAAAAGTTGTAGTTATAATAATGATGCACATTTATTAACATTTATATGAATCTTTGTTTTTGAAAAGTAATAATAAAAGGGGAAAAGGTAGGTAGTTTTAAAATTTTATATAAGCTTTTAAAAAATAAAACTTTTATAACTTTTCTTTTTAAAATAATAAAATAATTATGTGGATTAAAAACATTAATTTAGTATAATACTAAGAAAATGGAAAGTTTTATACAAAAGTAATGGTCAATGAATGTAATAATAAAGAAAGTTATTTCAATTAATGAAAAAATACAATAACATATTTCAAAGTATTAAAATAAAATTACAATTTATAAAAAAATTGAAAAACAATAAATTGAAATAAATGGTGGATAGTTTAAAAAATTTATATATAAAGTTGTATTTAAACCTATAGAGTTTATATAATTTTTTTTAAATAACACAATTATGCATCACGGGATGTATGAAGTTGATAGGGTGTATTTAGTATTTTAGCGGGTGCACCTATCACTGCCCAAATGTTAATTAGGATGGGAAAGAAACGGGGGTTGGTAGAAAAATGTGAGTGGAAAAAAGTAGATGTATTACAGTATTTTAAGTGAGTTGGGTATTCCAAAAATGGAATTGAGACTTTTAATTTTGGGACACCAAATAAGGAAAGTGAAACTTTAATGTTGGGAAGGAAGGAGTAGTAAATTCTTGAAATGTAAATGTATTCAAGTGGCAGTCTAGAATTTCCCCCAAAGGAACATAAATATAATAATGAATCACTAAGGAAAGAAAGAAAAATCAAGTGGCAGAAATTACAAATATTGCAAGTTCGTCATATGAGTCAAGTCCGGTATCCTCCCAAAGATATTACAGCCCTTCAACATCCTGGGCCAAAAGTTGCATTTTACATTAGAAACTTCATTTCATAGTTGAATTATGAAACTGGAATTCAGAATTTTGGAAACCAAATACATTACTCACAACTTTTTCATGCCAGTCATGCTGTTTAATGCTGGAAATCTGGAGGCACCTCCGCCATTCAGGTCACTTATTCTACTGCAGATTCATGTGGCAAATTTAAACTATAGAAAACTAGGAAAATCATACTTTGAACTCCGGGAATGACACCAAGGTTAACACCATCCGAGACAATCGTGCATAGACAACGATTGAAAGCGGTGTCATACGCAGTATGACTGTAGCATGACCCAGAAAATTATGATATCACAACATGTATGAAATTAAATCATTAAAGGAGAGCTTTTCTCACAGTTCAACCATGTCGGTCAATACAGAAATACTTGAAGGTATGGGTCCTTCAAATCCACTTGCTTGAAGCTCTCTGCAAGTTATGCTTGTGAAAAAAACAATTCCATCCAAAATTATCAAATGTAGAAAGCTACATGTGAGTACTCACAATTGTTGAAGACTTTTCCAACTCTGAAAGTTGGGCAATTTCCCAGTGAACATATTACTGCTCAGTCTTCTGCATTGATGTCCCAAGAGATGATGGCAAATGTCAAAAATTAACATAGTCGTATAGAAGAAACGATGAAATATGCAAGGGTGCACTTACAGCTCTGTCAAGTTTGTAAGAGCATTAAGCTCTTTTGGCAATTCCCCAGTGAGATTATTAGCACCGAGAATGCTACATTGTCCGAGAATAATAAAAAAACACATCAAACAAGTAAGAAAAAAAACAATCTGCATATAAGGCAGGAGATAGATGAGGCAGATTCTGATATTTTATTTAAAAATGCTTACAGATTCTGCAAATTGGCAAGCTTCCCAAGCTCGGGTGGAACAGTTCCATTGAACATATTGTTCTCTAAATTTCTGGTGGGGAAAAAATCATTTGTTCATGACAAAACACAATAAGTTCCCTATCGCTGGCTTCTATTTTCGAGAGAAGGTCAATGGGAGCAAGAAACATACAAATACGCAAGAGCAGTCATATTCCCCAAGAACTTTGGAATCGGTCCAGACAAGCGATTCACAACCACCGACCTGCCAATGCGTCACTTTTTAATTACCACGAACAAGTTGATAGCTACAATGTATCATTTCCATTCACCAGCCAGAGATGGACAGTGCTACACCATCCATCCGTGAAGTGGCGTCAACATCCCCAACATATATAACATGTTCAACACTTGCTCTATTCCAAAACACTCATTTGGGTTAGACACCTAGGTATGAGTAAAACATTGCCACCGTACTTAAATACGAGTTCTGGTGACAAAAACAATTAGCTGATAGAGATACAAAGAAGTTAACTTTTTTAATACATAAACAGGAGACTCATCAAGATCAACAAATCATTGTCATTGTTTACAATGCAACTCGTATTTAGGCATAAAACGAATCGAACTCCTACTTGAGTACTACTTCCATGTTTCGCTCCTAATTAGGAACATTTATCATTGAAAAGCGACAAATTGAGTGATTAGATTATGAAGTTCATGTTGGGACTATCTGAAAAGGAAAGCATGATAATTTAACTTACAAATACTCCAATTTGGTAGAGGCCCATTCTGGGGGAATTGAACCACTCAAGTAGTTTCGAGTGAGATCGCTGCAAAAAAACAAAAAACAAAAATATTAAACAATAAATTCAAATCTGGGGAACAAATTGTTGCATAAATGCAGAGAATGGGTATGGTACATGGTCTTCAAGAAGGGTAACTTCGCCAGAGAAGGAGGAAGGACACCTTGCAGATCTTGTCCCTTTAAAACGCTGCATGCATCACAAGGATGAGAGCTATGTGAAATTTCAAACACTTTCTAACATCGGAACACATCCAAATCTGGGCAGAAAATTACTGGGTTTTGTCCAAATAATTCCAACCGGGGTTGTAACGACGGGAAGGGAAGATCCAATATTTAATCCGTTAATAATTGTATTGTTTTATATATTTTTCTAGGGTAATAACTCTTAGGTCGCTCTTTTTTTTTATTTCTTTGTTTTTTTGTTACTCTTTTTTAAAGTGTTTTTAGAATTTATTCTATAAAATGGTATTAAAATTCAAACTTGTTTGTATGATATAATTAAAAATAAATGAAAAAAAACTTTTTCTAAATAATAAAAAACCAAGTAAAATAAAAAAATAAAAATAAAAAAACAAATTTGTTAGAAAGTCCTCAAGATTCTTTTGTTAATATGTACTTTGTATGGAATATTAAAAAAAAGAGATGTAATTTTCTTTTTTGATCAGGTCCTAATTTCATTTATTTTTATATCATACAAAATTTAAATTTTTGAAACTATTTTCTAGAAGAAAATTTTTAAAAAAAAATATTTATGAAAAAAGGAAATAAATTAAAGTCAAAAAAGAGACAAAGAAAGGAAATTAAACATATAGACTAAAGTGAGGGACCTAAAAGTTATTATCATAAAATGGCAATGGCAAAATAGAAAAAATGCGTTTATTAACGCTTATGGATGAAGTATTGGATAAAATGTCTCCTCAATCATTACAATGAAATATAAGAACTTCTATTGTCTTCTTAAAAATAAAGGGACCTGAAAGTTATTTTGACAAAACTCGCATCACCCGTAAGTAATTTTCTAAATTCTTGGCCTGCGAACATATATTCAAGATATAAAGAACTTCTATTACATTCAAAATTGAGTAAAATATCTAAAATGTACTCAATAACGTAACTATGTATTCCGTAATAATTATATGTTTTTTTAAGTTAGTCCTCAAAATTAACTAATAATCGAGATGCAACTTATTAGTTGAGAATAATTCTCAGCTCAGTACATCGACTAACGGAGACGTTAAATCCTATACTAATTTTCTAAAATGGTTCTCCGTACTTTGTAACTGGTGTTTTCTCAAATTAGTCCATTTTCAAAATAAAAATATATTAAATATGGAAAAATATTTTAAATTTTACAGGATGAGAATATGATAATAAAAATTATAAATATAATTTTATAAGCTTGAAATTAATGTTTTATATTATTTATAATTATTTAGAAGTTTGTTAAACTTTATTTATTTGACCCCCACCCCATCCCCCGCTTTTGAAATAAAGTTCTTGTTCTGGTTTACGATATCTTATTGAAATTGTTTTCAAAAACCTATAATTGAAAATTGATCTTCAATTTAAAAATGTACTACCTCCATCTCTGAGTATTTGTCTAGTTTTGACTTTTTTCGGTCAACCGTTTTCAACTATTGACATATCATTTATATAAAATATATATTGTATACTCTGTATTAATTAGATAAAATAATATTTTGAAAATATTTGATACAGTAAATCTAATAAAACTATTTTTGTATTAATATCTGATAACATTTTTATTAAATTTGAAGTCAAATTTATCAATTTTGATCGAAAAAAGTCAAAAATGAACAAATACTTTGGGAAGAGAGGAGTTTATATTAAAAAAAGAAGTACACAACAAATTCTGCAAAAGAGAAAGAGGGGGGGGGGGGGGGGGGNCATACACCATGGGTGAAGTTACAATTGCATGTGAGAGTATTATTGTAGAGAGGCATATTGTCTCTTTTTGGTGTCCACCAGCTATTTGAGTTGTTCATATCACATGGATTTTGCTTCATATCCCAATCCTTTTTTCCCAACTCCCTACCAATTTCTTCAAGGGCCACAACTGGTAATACATTTTTCAACAACAATTTAGAATACGAATTGGTCAGTGGTCACTGGATTTCAGTGGTTACGAAAGTCACTGTCCTCCTTGCGATGCTCTGTTCATAAAATTAATGATTCTTATCTCTCCTAATTCCCCCGATAAACCACTCTGCCCAGTCCCGACCCCAATTCATTCCCACAATTGGTTATACATTCACCAACAACAATTCAAAGGCTCGTACTTATTACATATGGAGTAGTACTTCACTACCAATATTTATCTAACTTTATCTTTTTACTATCAAAATTGAAAACTTTTACCATTAATTTAACGTGAAGTAAAATTTATACTTCGTGTTAGATATTTGATACAAGAACAAATTTATTAGGTTTGTCTTATAAAATATTTCATTTTTATTTAATTATACGTCGAAGAATATCAATCTTAGTTGACAACAAAAAGAGACTGGACAAACATTCTAAAAAGCACATGGCCTATTAAAATGATTGGGCGAACCTCTAATATTGAGCAATGTTAGTTTCACAAACGGAATTTTTATGATATTAGGAACTTGTCTCAAAACTAAATTCTCGTGTTTCCTTTTTGAGTTATTTCATACTTCCTCCATCCCTTAAAAAATTCAACATCTGACATGACACGAAATTTAGAAAATGAAATTGTATAATTGAAAATGATGCAAAAGAGAAGAAAAATTATAGTAAACCTTTTTTTGAGATGTGCATAAAAAGAAATATAGAATTTTTTTTATGAAATGAAGAAAGTGTTATTGACTCGATGTTTACCGTGAACGGATGGAGTAATAACAAATACTACCTCCGTCCCATAAACAGTTTCATGTTTTGATTTCTTTTGTCAAATAGTAACACTCTTTGAACATAAATTTAAAAAAAAAATGCAATTACTATGTAAATTTTATAAAATCGGGTTCATGCGGTTAGAATATAGTTTTGATATATCAGATTTTTGTAATATTCATTTATTCAAATTATATTTAATTTGTTGTCAATGAGTGTCAATGGCAAAAAATATCAAAACATGAAAGAGTTTATGTGACAAAGGGTCAGAATTTGAGTGCAGAAGATTGAGAATAATAATAGAATAAAAAGAAATTAAATTAAAGCAGTAGTGAATGAAAGCTCACTCTCATCTTGAGGAAGTTTCTGTGCTTCCAGAAAAGATGCTCCCATGGAGAGGACTATTACTATAATTATTATTATTATGTGCAGAAACAGATTATAAGGTGTTGCAATAGACATGTTTGAGCTCTTGGAAAACCAGCTAGCTTCTCAAGTTTTTTTTGTCTTTTTTTATTTTATGATCAAACATTCACACACAATCAAAGATATAAAACAAATATAAGAAGAAGAGTCAAAGACCACAAGTGTTCTCACAAAAAAAACATTAAAGAATAGGACCCTCCACTCTCCCTACATCCCCGACTCATGACAATACAGCTACTTTTATACCTGCACACACGATAATCATTTGTGAATAACATAGATAGTTATTATCTCTGAAAGCTTAAAAAAGAGTCTGTATTGTCATGCGTGGGGACAGGATGATGAGTTTCTAGCATTCTCCTAAAAAATAAACTTCTCAGTTTTTTAGTTACAGAGTATGAATTTTTCGTTCCTTATGAAGTGTATTAAGTAAGTAGTCTCGATTAGCTTCGTTTGAGAACAATGTTTTCAATTACGAGTGCATATTCATGGTAGAGTTTAACATTTTCAATTAACAAAAAAAACACTGCTGTTAGATAATTTTTCTTAAAATGTCGAAATTGTTGCCAGGTAAAATATCACAAAAATGTCAACTTAACATGGTTGAAAAAATGAATGTATGACGAAATATCATTTTAAAAAATTATTTGATCTTTTGTATTAATTTCCGAAAATGAAATACATTTCATATTAAAAATGAGCCAATATAAATTTGGATGAAAGAAATAGAGCATGCCTTACCATCCAAAACAGGTGACAAGTGTTTCATTTTTCTTTTTCTTTGATTTGTCAAACACTATTTGTACAAAATGGGTAGAGGTTAATTAATGTAGAAGGGAGTAGTAAATGAAAGATCAATATTGGGTTGAGGCCGACAAGTGGGCTAATCCTATCTCAAGTGAATGATAAGACCCTTTTAAAAGTCGAAAAATGATACCTCAATCATTGTACTTGTTGGACACGGTCCGGTTCCGAGTTGGTTCCAGCACCGCCACCATTCAGCCCGGTAATCGTGACCTGTCGTGGTGGTATTGGCGCCCGTTTTGGAACCGACAGCTACGATTCAAGTTCCGGGCCAGTTTCTGGTATTGTTTAATTTTTTTTATTTTATAGTATTATACATAAAACATGTTAATCTAAAAATGTAGTTGTTATTTTAAATAATTAAAGTTGAATAGTACACCTACATTTATTACTCTTACGCTTAAAAAATGATGGGGTAAATTAAAGAACCATAAAGAAGCCTCGAAGAAGAATATAAATTACCAAACTAAAAAAACTAATTACAACTTAAGAAAAAAACTAAGTTATTCATCGGAACTACCACTTCTCTCCGTGGTTGCATCCATGTAATTTGGTGTATCTTTGTCGTAGCCTGCCTCTTGTGCTCAACGCCTTGCCAAGAGCTAATCTTGTTTGCAAACAAGTATCTCAAGTTATTCAACGCCAAGGGAACTCCGGAAGTCGGTTAAAATATTGTTGCTAGAATTGAGCTCTTATTTCACAGTTACGGTTGAGACTCGCACAAAATACACTTGTGTGGCTAGCACTTCGAGTGACAGGAATATGTGTTCATTCTGCTTCCACTAGACTTGGCAAAAAAATGACCTGATCTATTTTTGACCCAAACCCCGATCCGAAAACACTCGGTTTTGAACAAAGGTTTGGTTGACCGAACCTGAAGTTGACTGAAACCTAAATGACCTGCTAAAAATGGGTCAAACCCGACCGAACCAGACTATAAAATCTAATGTTATAAAAATAAGTTTATATTTATATTTTTTCTCACTACTCGTTTTTAGTGTATAAATTTATACTCTTAGACAAAATTTTAGTGATATTGCATAATTATCTTATTTTTCAAAAAGTATACATTTTTTAGTTCTTTATATTGATTTATATACTTAAAATTACTTCATAATTCAAGATAATATAATATAATAAATGTAATACATATTTTTGATATTTTAATTTTATTTAATATGAAATGCATGTGTTAATATGAATTTAAAAATTTTAAAAATCAAATTCATAACAC